TAAATATGCCTAATAATACTAAGGTATATACACTTATTTTCTTACTAGCGGCCCGTGCGTTGCAACGGGAAAAAAACATAATCCTCAATGGCCATGTCCACATTTTCATACATCAACGAGATACATTATCACTCTCAATTTCATGAAATCATGAATAATTTTTAAATATTGAAAAAAATTAAACTCTTGGAACATATTTGAAATCATGACCTTTTCAAATATATGAACACTTTTACAAATTTTAAACATTTTCTAAAATCAAGAACACCTTTTGAATTAATGAACATTTTATACTATTTGCAAACATTTTTTTAAAAAATTGAACATTTTTTAGAAAAATTTCTTGAATTAGTGAATATTTCTATAATCGTCAAACTTTTTTTTTTGGAAATTAGCGAAACAATTTTTGAAATTCACGAAGATTTTTTTTATTTAAGGTACATTTTTAAAATGCATGATCATTTTTTGAATCAATGAAATTTTATGAATAAATAAACTATTGTGTAAGTCATGAATAGTTTTTGAATTTTTTGGATATTTTCCATTCATGAAAATTATTTGAACTGGTGAAATTTTGTTCAATTTTATTAACATTTTTAATACATGAACATTTTTTTATTTCCTAAGCATTTGTTTTTAAATTTCAAACATTTTTTGAGTAAGCAAATATTGTTACAAAATCGCGAACATTTTTTGAATCCACACAAATTTTATTATTTATTAAAGATTTTATTTCAGAATTCTCATTTTTTAAATTTTCACAAATTTTAAGTCCCAAATTATTTAAAGTTGGAAAAAACAGAAAGGGAAAATAGAAATAAAAAAAGTAAAATTTTAAAAACAGGCCGCCTGGACATGGGCCAGCCCAAACGGGTGTGTTGTGTCTTCTACCAGCACGCAGAGCGCAGTTAAGGAGGTCCCTACTGCATGGGCTGGCCCAAGCAGAGGATTCCCCTGTGTAAAATATTTTTTTATCACTTATAGTTATATTTTTTTGACAGAAAGACTGTAAGAGAACCCCTACAATATAATTAGTGCAACAAATCCAAATTGTAAGTACCGTGCCTTGAACCTAGCTGGGTGGGAAGGCATCATCCCCTTCCCACCACTAGGCTATGCCTTAGTCTCCGGCACATGGTATATTAGCCACATGGATACCTTGCATGCACACTTAAATGAAATTACTTACTTGAATACATATGATACGAATCAAAACAAATCACACAAACCTGAGTTTCAAATCAACCGATGAAAACATATCCACGACGTAAAAAAAATCACACATATTTCTATGATCGGGAAATCTATGGCCTATGAGCCTACGTATTAGTTTGAACCCAAACTAGTGGTTTGAACGTGCCATTGCGCGCCACCTGATATGAAGTGCGCTCATTTCTTGTCCTTCTAAAAGAAAACTTTTCTCTTTTTTATCTAAAAAACAATGAATAACCAGAGCGCCAGACCGTCACCCCTTCTTTCTCCCTTAATGGGTTTAATTTGGGCAACTCAAGAATCTTGGCTAAATCGGCTCACCTTCATTTGTTTTCAACGAATCACTAGCTAAAGTTGCCAAGTATTGGCATGTTTGAGTTTGGCAAATGTTGGTTTGCAAAAAAAAAAAAATGCAAACCAAGCAGCTCCTATGCATTTTATTTTTTTGGGAATATATGCATTCAACCAAGAAATTATGGTCTACTTAGAATAAAATCAGATAGTACATTCGATGGAAAGTTGCAGCCCAAGCAAACTATTTTTCAAGAACAATAAGCCCGATCCAAAGCGAGGAGCAGAGAACTAACTGCTCATAAGGTTCACGCATACGCATGAAAACAACTAGGCCGAAGCACGGCCGGAGCCGCCGAGCTGGGCGATGTGGACGCTGATAACCTCGCCGTCATCCAAGCCGGCCTCCTCCGCCGTTTGCGAGGGCCTGATGCGCTTGCCCTCGTCGTTCAGGAACACGACGGCTTCCGGATTGAGCGAGTGCTTGTCGCAGTACATGTCCATGACGCGGCTCAGCACGACTTTGCGCTTGGCGCGGACGAAGGCGTCCGGGAAAGTCTGGCTCGTTACCTTGATGTGGATGTAGGCTCTCTTTCCTTCCGCCGCCGCCTCGGGCTTCACCGGCGTTAAGGTAACCTCATCCTCCGCTGCCGCCTCCTTCCTGTGCCCTGATTCCGGCGTCGCCTCCGCCTCCTTCTCGTGCCCTACGACCGGCGTCGGCGACATCGTTCTCCGCTCGACTTCGATTGGATCTGCTGCGCTTGTGTTTTGAGTTTTGCGGCGCTGTTGCGATCGTATCGGCGTATCGTTTCGACGTTTCTGAAAAAATTGGCTATTTGCCTCTTTCAATATGGGGTTTGGTACAAATGCCACTGTCAAAATTAATTTCGTAAATATACCACCCACGTGTACTTTGATTAAAATACATTTTTTTCTTTTTCCATTGCTTTTCTTTTTCTTTTTCCATCTTCTCGCACCTGAAAGGACCAAAGTGCCCTTGGACCTTTCAACCTTACCTCATGCGTTTGTGGGCTGGCTAGCTCGTCATGTCGGTGATGCTTGGCCGAGCAACCACATGTCGCGGCCGTTGCTCGCCCATACCTGCGCGCGCCACCGCAGCTCGCCTTGACCATGCCCGTGTGCGCATCCGCAGGTACTCGCCCACACCTATCGCGCCGGCACAGCTCACCCTTGCCTTGCCGATGCGAGATACTGCAGCTCACCGCCGGTGCTCGTGCACGTCTGCACATGCTGGCGCAGCCTCGCGGGTGCCTGCGCGAGCCACCAAAGCTCGCTGCCGGTGCTGGCCCATGCCAGCGCAGCTCGCCCTCCCCTTCACGCGTTGGCGTAGCTTGTCCCGAGAGCCAAGACATACGAGGGCAACGTTGAACAGCAGCTCCAGTGGCGTGATGGCAGCACTGTGTTCGTACACGAACACGTCACCGTGTACCTCCAACATCGAGGGTGAAGCACGGCAGCTCGCGCCGAAGGAGACCCGTCCGGAAGCGCGGTACGCAAGCAATTCGGCGGGCGTCTTTGAGCACCCGAAACCCCACGCGCCCGGGAGGGACTCCATCTGGATGCGCGGCGGCAATGGGCTGCCCTAGGTCGGTTTACCCGGCCCTAGAGCCTCGAGGATCGCTGCCCTTCAACATGAAGAAGAACGAACGAAGAACGAGAGAGAAAGAACAAGGGAGAGATGTAAAACTAGGGTAAAAAGTAGATGGGTTTTGCGATTGTGTGTTGTTGTTCAATCGGCTGTCACCTCTTGTCTATATAAGAGGCGGATGGACTTCCCGTACAAGAAAAGGACTTGCATAGCCGTCCAAATCATCAAAACCTAATAAAACACGGACTCTTCACGACCCCCGGCCCGGATGTCCGGCTCAAGGCCCGAATGATCCTGCCTAGCCTTTCTAACAACAGCTTACTATTTTGGCTCTAGAATCCACATACGACCTTGCATTTAGACGAATTTTATATCAAAATCAGCCGTCTCAACGAGACGCACAACTTCCATGTTGAACACTTTTTGATATGAGGCCATATTGAGGGTGTTTAGGGCCATTTTGTAAAGTCCACAGCAGAAAAATTTGTCCGGACGTCCGGACGATTGCCCGGATTGTCCGGCCTTTACCCGGATCATCCGGGACTTGACCCAGATCATCGGCTTCAATTTTTAGCTTCTGTTGTTTGGGTCAATTTTTCGGCCCCCGGCCAGTGTTGGAAATATGCCCTAGACGCAATAATAAATTAGTTATTATTATATTTCCTTGTTCATGATAATCGTTTATTATCCATGCTATAATTGTATTGAAAGGAAACTCAGATACATGTGTGGATACATAGACAACACCATGTCCCTAGTAAGCCTCTAGTTGACTAGCTCGTTGATCAATAGATGGTTACGGTTTCTTGACCATGGACATTGGATGTCGTTGATAACGGGATCACATCATTAGGAGAATGATGTGATGGACAAGACCCAATCCTAAGCCTAGCACAAAGATCGTAGTTCGTATGCTAAAGCTTTTCTAATGTCAAGTATCATTTCCTTAGACCATGAGATTGTGCAACTCCCGGATACCGTAGGAATGCTTTGGGTGTACCAAACGTCACAACGTAACTGGGTGGCTATAAAGGTGCACTACAGGTATCACCGAAAATGTCTATTGGGTTGGCACGAATCGAGACTGGGATATGTCACTCCGTGTAAACGGAGAGGTATCTCTGGGCCCACTCGGTAGGACATCATCATAATGTGCATAATGTGACCAAGGGGTTGATCACGGGATGATGTGTTACGGAACGAGTAAAGAGACTTGCCGGTAACGAGATTGAACAAGGTATCGGTATACCGACGATCGAATCTCGGGCAAGTACAATACCGCTAGACAAAGGGAATTGTATACAGGATCGATTGAGTCCTTGACATCGTGGTTCATCCGATGAGATCATCGTGGAACATGTGGGAGCCAACATGGGTATCCAGATCCCGCTGTTGGTTATTGACCGGAGATCGTCTCGGTCATGTCTACATGTCTCCCGAACCCGTAGGGTCTACACACTTGAGGTTCGATGACGCTAGGGTTATAAAGGAAGTTTGTATGTGGTTACCGAATATTGTTTGGAGTCCCGGATGAGATCCCGGACGTCACGAGGAGTTCCGGAATGGTCCGGAGGTAAAGATTTATATATGGGAAGTCCTGTTTTGGTCACCGGAAAAGTTTCGGGTTTTATTGGTAATGTACCGGGACCACCGGGAGGGTCCCGGGGGTCCACCAAGTGGGGCCACCGGCTCCGGAGGGCTGCATGGGCCAAGTGTGGGAGGGGACCAGCCCTAGGTGGGCTGGTGCGCCCCCCACAAGGGCCCAAGGCGCCTAGGGTTTGGGGAGGGGGCGCCCCACCTTGCTTGGGGGGCAAGTTTCCCCCTCTCCACCCCTTGGCCGCCCCCCCTAGATGGGATCTAGGGCTGGCCGCCGGCCCCTAGGGGTGGAAACCTAGGTGGGGGCGCAGACCCCTCTCCCCCTATATATAGTGGAGGCATAGAAGCACCCCAACAGATGAGTTTCTTCTCCTGTTGGCGCAGCCCTACCTCTCTTTCTCCTCATATCTCGCGGTGCTTGGCGAAGCCCTGCTGGACTACCACGCTCCTCCATCACCACCACGCCATTATGCTGCTGCTGGATGGAGTCTTCCTCAACCTCTCCCTCTCTCCTTGCTGGATCAAGGCATGGGAGACGTCACCGGGTTGTACGTGTGTTGAACGCGGAGGTGCCGTCCGTTCGGCACTAGGATCTCCGGTGATTTGGATCACGACGAGTACGACTCCTTCAACCCCGTTCTCTTGAACTCTTCCGCTTAGCGATCTACAAGGGTATGTAGATGCACTCTCCTTCCCTCATTGCTGGTTTCTCCATAGATAGATCTTGGTGACACGTAGGAAAATTTTGAATTTCTGCTACGTTACCCAACAGTGGCATCATGAGCTAGGTCTATTGCGTAGATTCTTTGCACGAGTAGAACACAAAGTAGTTGTGGGCGTTGATTTTGTTCAATATGCTTACTGTTACTAGTCCAATCTTGTTTTGACGGTATTGTGGGATGAAGCGACCCGGACCGACCTTACACGTACTTTTACGTGAGACAGGTTCCACCGACTGACATGCACTTGGTGCATAAGGTGGCTAGCGGGTGCCAGTCTCTCCCACTTTAGTCGGAACGGATTCGATGAAAAGGGTCCTTATGAAGGGTAAATAGCAATTGGCATATTACGCTGTGGTTTTGCGTAGGTAAGAAACGTTCTTGCTAGAAACCCATAGCAGCCACGTAAAACATGCAAACAACAATTAGAGGACGTCTAACTTGTTTTTGCAGGGTATGCTATGTGATGTGATATGGCCAAGAAGAATGTGATGAATGATATGTGATGTATGAGATTGATCATGTTCTTGTAATAGGAATCACGACTTGCATGTCGATGAGTATGACAACCGGCAGGAGCCATAGGAGTTGTCTTAATTTATTGTATGACCTGCGTGTCAATGAACAACGCCATGTAATTACTTTACTTTATTGCTAACCGGTAGCTATAGTAGTAGAAGTAATAGTTGGCGAGACAACTTCATGAAGACACGATGATGGAGATCATGATGATGGAGATCATGGTGTCATGCCGGTGACGATGATGATCATGGAGCCCCGAAGATGGAGATCAAAAGGAGCAAAATGATATTGGCCATATCATGTCACTATTTGATTGCATGTGATGTTTATCATGTTTATACATCTTATTTGCTTAGAACGACAGTAGTAAATAAGATGATCCCTCATTAAAATTTCAAGAAAGTGTCCCCCCTAACTGTGCACCGTTGCAAAAGTTCGTCGTTTCGAAGCACCACGTGATGATCGGGTGTGATAGATTCTTACGTTCACATACAACGGGTGTAAGCCAGATTTACACACGCGAAACACTTAGGTTAACTTGACGAGTCTAGCATGTACAGACATGGCCTCAAAACACAAGAGACCGAAAGGTCGAGAATGAGTCGTATAGTAGATACGATCAACATGAAGATGTTCACCGATGATGACTAGTCCGTCTCACGTGATGATCAGACACGACCTAGTTGACTCAGATCATGTAATCGCTTAGATGACTAGAGGGATGTCTATCTGAGTGGGAGTTCATGAGATGAACTTAATTATCCTGAACATAGTCAAAATATCTTTGCAAATTATGTCGTAAGCTCGCGCTTTAGTTCCACTGTTTAGATATGTTCCTAGAGAAAATATAGTTGAAAGTTGACAGTAGCGATTATGCAGACAGTAGAAAGCTTATGTCCTTAATGCACCGCTCAGTGTGCTGAACCCCAAACGTCGTTTGTGGATGTTGTGAACATCGAACATACACGTTTTGATAACTATGTGATAGTTCAGTTAAATGGTTTAGAGTAGAGGCACCAAAGACGTTTTTGAAATGCCGCGGAACATATGAGATGTTTTGAGGGCTGAAATTGGGATTTCAGGCTCGTGCCCATGTCAAGAGGTATAAGACCTCCGACAATTTTCTTAGCCTGCAAACTAAGGGAGAAAAGCTCAATCATTGGGCTTGTGCTCAGATTGTCTGAAGTGCAACAATCACTTGAATCAAGTGGGAGTTGATCTTCCAGATGAGATAGTGATGTTTCTCCAAAGTCATTGCCACCAAGCTGCTAGAGCTTCGT